AACAAATCAGTAGAGGTTTGATATTCGCTTTCCTTAGTTTTGAGCATTCTACCTCTCATTCTTATTAAATATGCTTTTATGTCTGTGTAACACAGAAAGGAGCTCCTGATCCACCCTCAATGATACCATTCATTAGTTCTTATGCTATTATCATGCGCTCATATGTTCATCCTGTTTTTACAGCAAACACTTCACTTGATTGGCTTTCCAGGTCCCTTAGAAATCTTAAGCATATTGCTGTGCAGTGAGAAGTCTTAAGAGATTATCACTTTGAAAGCAGTCATGACCCAAACTTTATAGCGCAAACTAAGTATCTGGATGGTCTCTGTTCTTTTCAGATGCCACCTGTTACTCTTGTGTGTAGGAGAAATACCCTTCAGCCAAACCTGAGGTTTTTTTCCCTCCTGAACTGTATTACATCTTCTCTCTTTCCAGCTTTGATAGTATTCTGTACATCTCTACTCTGTTCTAGATACAGTATTGGCTTGTATCATTGACCTGGGGTCAGTCCATCCTTCCTGAAGACAGGTTTCTTCTGGGTTGTATGGATTCTCAACAAAGTGTTGTATTCAGTTACTTGTAATTGAAGACTGATTTCTGTTGTTTTGTTTTTGTTCTACTTAATAAAGTTCACTTGTTAGCTACCCACCTTGAAACTGAAATGGGTTTGCTTGCTTGCAGCCTTTGAATAGACTAAATATTTCTAATACTATATGGGCTGACAAAAACCAGAAAATATCTTAATTGTGAAGAAGCATATTTGAAAAGGGAGCATAAGTGAGTATGTGCTGCTCTTTGGATTGAATTAGTGGTTGGCAGCCTTTTGGAGAGGTCCACAACTAGTGTGGAGGAAAGCAAGTCTATTGTGTGTTGGCTTAAACTGGCTGAGCAAGGGCTTCAATTCCATAAAACTCTTATTGGAGATCCCTCAGACTGGAAGAAAGGTTGAAAACAATTGTTAATTTCTCTAAATTAACACACTACCAGTAATTGTACCAGCAAAAAAGTAGTGAAGTACTTGTATTTTCATTTACTCAGCTAGGTGAGTGTAATTCATGTTAGAATGCTTTCATATGAGGCAAAATAACTTGTGTATTAAATTTCAAAAATTCAAGCTTCCTTATTAAGACCCTGTGTGGTCTACCTTATCTGTGTTAGAATCCTTACCCCCCCTCCTCCTCCTGATGTGCCACTTCGACTCATGAAATAATGAGTCTGTTAAAGTGACAGAAAGGTATTGTTAAAAGGAGAAACAAGAGTACTGAAAGCAGGTTGATAATGTGAGACTTGAGACTGGTCAGCATGTTTGGTTCCAGAAGGGATCTTGCTGTTGCAGTTCTGACTAAGTAGATGGGCCCACACTTTTGCAACTCTGTGCATGAAGTTGCCTTTTAAGGAACAAAAATGGAAAAATGAAAATGTTTAGATCTTGAAAATAAAGGCTGAATAAAGCCATGGTAGTGATTATTGTGAAACTTAACCTGAAATCACTTCCTCACTTCTCTGACAGTATCATCACAGGATTTGTGAGTCCTGAGGATGGAATTGCTACAGCTTTCCTGTGAATAATATCTATTTGTGTGCTGTGTTACCAGCTCCTGCAGTTCTGTCATAAGTGACACCTGTGTTTGTTTAGATGTTTTAGGTGATTCTTTCTTTAATTGATGGGGAAGATCTTTGTCCTATAAGGATCTCATGTACAGTTCAAATTTAGAAATACAGACCAAGTATATTGTTTTAAAGTTTTATGACTTTTAAAACAGCCTTAACTTTTTGGTGTTGGACTTGCGTCTCTGTGTGCGCATATACAGATCTTCAGTCTAATTGTATAATACAGAAAGGCCATGTTGTGGCTGGCCCAGTGCTAAATAAGGGGTTGATACCAGCAGCTTACTTTTGCTACTAGTGGACTTCTCTAGGTGACACTAATGGCAACCTTGTAGAGCCCTAAACAGTGATATTTGAGAAGCTGCCTGTCAGTACTTTTGTGATTTCACCAAGTGCATGTGACACTAAAAGTGGTGTCAAAGAAGTCAATGGAAACCTTAATTTTTAAATCCTTGAAAAGGTCCAACATGAATAAGGATTTCATCTTCAACAGGTATTGTTCCTGCTTAAGAGTTTATTGTATGGAGGCATAATAATTCATATTTTTAATATAATGATGAAACAACAGAATGGAATTGTAGGCACAACCTTAAATCTATTATTTTTAAGAAGCTTGCCATTCAGCTTTTTCAATGAGAGTTTTAATGGCAATTTTTTGGCCATATTTTTTCCACAGTTTTTTTTTTAAATATGGGATTTTAAGAACAGAAGTTCTTAAAGTGGGTCCTACAGAATTGTCATGCTTCTTAAAATGGCCCTTCTAAAATTTTTTAACGTTTGTTGCAATGTTTTAACTTGGTTACATTTTAAAACATTGCAACATTTTATTATTGATGTTTGTTTTTCTCTGTAATATTCTCCCACTGATGTCTGTTTAATATTGTTTCTGATTAGTATCGCTGTTTGCATTCCTTTTTGGTTAAAATAAATGGTGTGTATATTTCATTTTTTTGGAAAAATTGTTTAATAGGGCAAGTAATGGCAAAATCTTTGCTTCTGACCTCCAGATTGAATTGCTCAGCAGGTAAAGTCTGAATTGCTAATAAAAATGAGACTTTGGAGGGAAATCTTTGCCTGAGGTTGGATTTGTACTGATTCCACACGTTTCTTCTGACTATACCATCTCCCTCAGCGCTGCTTCTGGAGCAACATGACCCCTTTAATGAAATTTCATTTTGTGACTAACTGAATTTCCGTGTACGTGCTTTACTTGCTTTTACGCTTTGTGATGGCATTTCTCCTTTGTTCTGCAGTACTTAAAAAGCATTTTACTTATCAGAGCTGGAGATAAATAAAGCATCCTGTTTACTAAATAGATAAATTTTCATCAACCACCATCCTGAAGGCATTGGAATTGCTATATTAGGACACAGTGTTGCTTTATAATTTGTAAATTATGAAATGAGACAGAAAATTTACCATGCAGGGTAAAGGCATTTGCTGGGAATACTTGGCTTTTCTAAGATAGCCAAACACTGACTGGCTTACAAGAATGGAGGAAAAAAAAAAAACCCAAAGCACACTTTTTTTTTCTTTTCAGTTTTTTTAAGTTCCTTCATAAAAGCAGTCTGCAGAGAGCTTTGTTTGTATTTTCTAGATCTCTAAAAAGAACAAAACAATTTCTATGGTATAAAAAACTATTTCTCTCAGTGAGTGCACATACTTCTCTTATAGGTCTGTTCATGGGTTCAGTTTAGCCCCTGTTTGTGAGCAGTCTTTGAGCTGGAAAAAAAGCTAGTTAGTTGTGATATTGATTACATAAATTACTGCCTTTAGGGAACATGCTGTATGTAGGCATGGTTCAAATCCTACAAATCCAGTCTATCCAACAGTAGAAGGACTGACGGCCAGTGGTGCTTTGGCATTGTAGTAGTATAGCCACTGTTGGGTATATACATATTTTTCTGTTTGTGTCTTGCCCAATATTTAATGATAATCAAGAACTCTATGGTACTACCATGCAAGCATCTTGCTTTTTAATTTGCAAAATTATGTTACAGAATTCAGGAATTTAAAGTGACTTTTTTATATTTTAAGTCAAATAAAACTTCTCCTTTTTCTTGTAACACAAATCCTGCTAGCTCGGCAGTATTCTAGATTAGATGAAGATAAACTTCCAACTTGCAGCATAGATATGGAATCAGATATATTTGTAGCTTGGAAACAAAGATAAGTAGAATAGTTGAAAAATTATGATCTTTAGTCTTTTTTTTTTTTTAAAAAAGAAAAGTTTATCAAGACTTTGCGAAGACAGTGTTTGTGCTCTCTGGAAATGAACATTCTGTATTATTGTTTTGTCTGCTTTGCAAGAAAAATTTAAGAAGTGTAATGACTTGATTTGAAAAATTACCAGTTTCCCTATAATTTCTGTAAGTATATCTCTTTTCTTAAACAAACAAACAAACAAACAAAAAATTTACAGGCTTATAGTAGTTACACTGAACCATAGCTTCATCTCCTTTACATTGATGGCAAAATTGGAATTGAAAACAAAGCATGTTCCTTGAAACACTATGTTTAATTACATACATGTGATTCCAGAAAATGTGATGTTGTGATGTTTACTGATACCTTTCTTGTAGCATTTTGTTATTGTAGCATTTGTCAGTTATGAAGATAACGTGACTATTCGGCAGTGGTTTCCTTGTGGTACGTTCAGTAATTTTGTATCAGAAGGATTAATTTATCTTCTTTCCTGTGGTAAATAGCCCTTAAATGATTTGGCTAATTAATACCATTGAGTTAAATACTTCTCAATTTTTAAGATTTTTGGCAAATACAGTGAATGCTCGTATGCTGCTTTTACGTTTTTTTTAATGCAAACAGTTTTATTTTTATGCACAAAATTAATTACTTTGTGGCTAATACAGGGCTCTTCGAACGCTCTACAAAATGGTGGATTCTGGCTATTAAGAATCATTGTCTTGCTTCTCAGTTTACTTGTAAGAGTGCTACATGAATGTGTCAACAAGTGCTAGGTTATTGAAATAAAGCGTATGATCCAGAATAACTATGTTTAAGAAAAGAGATAACGAGGAGGAACATCTTAATTATTTTGCATCTTGTTAGTATAGAAAAGATTGTTGTTTTTTTTTTTTAACTTATTTTTGTGATCCAGAGAGTTCCGTAGAAGCATGTGCACACACCAGGAGCATTCAAACTAAATAAGAAATCTCTGCTGTGAACTTTTGTTTCAAAAAGCAATAACTCTGGCGGCCAGTGAAAGTCTTGTCTTTCCTGTTCTGCATGAGGGATAGTACTGCAGTTTTGTCAAGTGTTTGGGCTAAGAAACTGTACACAGAGATGTTCTGTTATTCAGGTCAATAAGCTATTAGTCACAGTACTGACAAAGTTTCTATTCAGAGTTTGATCTGTCTCTTATGTTTTTTCAGGCATATTCGTATGTTTGAGCTCTGCTTTATGAACAAGGGAAGAGGACTAACAACTTGCCTGAAAAGGTGGTGAGAGCTGTCAAAATTTCATTACATGCAACTTTTTAAAAATTACCTATACATTTTCATGTCTATGAAACATAGAAAGCAAAATGGTTACTAATTTACTCCTCCTTGCTCTTTACTGTCCTTCTTTAGCCAATAATAAAGTGATGAAAGACTAAATTGATTATTTTCTAGTAATAGTCTTTAGCGGCCTTTTTCTCAAACGGTAAGATGTGCAAGAGTGTGAATTAGTCTACTTGGAATAGCAAAATACTGTACAAAAACAAATGCCCATATAATCAAAATGTATAATAGTTATATAGCATATAACTGTAATAATAAAGTCTCTAAAACTTCATAAATTGGTGTTCAGAATGTTCAAAATGTTTTTTTCTGCTGCTGTCCTGCTTTTAGACAAGAGGTGAACTTGCTCCCCAAACCCTAATGTTTGCTCTCAGCCACTCAGTTCTGTGTTCAGTTGTGCCATCAGACTTCACTTGAGGTTGTTCTCTGATCTACCTATGCAGAATGGGGGACGCTACCCGTGACTACAACAGTATTCCTACCTGAACAGGCAGAGGTTTGTGAGTTCTAGAGTCAAAGTATTGACTGCGTATTAGAGCTCTGAAAGAGCGTGATTCAGCTAGGAATCTAGGCATTGTGATTGTCTGTGGCACGTGAATGTAACAAAGGCATAAACTCAACGGTTATCTACTTGTGAGATGGGAGGTATGGCTTTCTGAAGCATTTTACCCTTCTGCTGCTTTGCCTTTTCTAAGTGAAGGGCCCTTGTCGTAGCAGTGCAGTCAGCACAGGCAAAGACTAAGCAATTTATGAATTTGTATGAATTCTGATGACCTGGGCAGCCATTCCTGAGAAAAGACAGAAGTTTCCTTACACAAGGAAAAGCCATCTACATTAGTGCCTTGGAACAAAGGAACATACTTCAAAAGATAGTCAAAAATGACTGAAACTAGAAGACAGTTGTACTTTTAAAATGAAAAAATTTATTTTAATATTCTCTTTCTGACTGTTTTTTCAGAGAAAATGGGATTTTGAATGAAGGGGAGGAATATAGTTACCACAGTATAAGCAAAACTGCAATTAACTGCTTCTTAATTTCTAAACAGTATATATGAGGTGGAAGTGTTCTTAGGAGAATTTTCACTCTAACAGTCATCCTCAGGTGAAATTTGTATTATTTACAACACAGGAAAATAACTGCAGGAGTGAATGGGAATAAAGTGACAAGAACTAGAAAGAGTTTTCTCTTACCCAACAGCCTCAATACATGTTCAAAATTAGGAGAAAGTAGCTGGGTCTATAGCCATTGGCAACCAAGTTAGAGGCTGTGTGCGGATACATGAACAACCTATTATTATTCTGTGGCATATCTGTGAACTAAGGGAATGTACAACTTCAAAAATGTTCCTGCTCCATCTTCACTGAAAGAAGAGTAGTAATTGTGGGATCATTACCAAAGTTATTTTTTGTAGAGCTCATGACTAAGACTGATTTCTTTTTTGTTAGTTTGGTTGTTTTTTTTTCTGTTTGTTTCAGGAGTGAGGTGCACTCTAAACTTGCTTTAAAGAATATGTCACCTTTAATCAGAAGAGCCATATATTTTCAGAATGATGGTGCTTTCAATTTATTGCTTGTCAGCCCCTGGAGTATGTTGGTTAGTTTCTTTATAAGTGCATTCATTGGCTCAGACTGCTTGCTTATAAAATAATTTCAGGTTCATTTTGATTGGTTATTGGTTGATAGCTCATAATGATAAAATAGGATTGTATTTTTCTCAAACCATTGACATCTTGGTGGAAAATCTGGAAAGCTGGAACCATTTGGACCTGCTCTTACTCCCACTGAGGTCACTAATAGAATTTCTGTGGCTTTCAGTGGGAGTAACGTCATATTATATAAATGCGAAGGCTTTTCCTCTTCTTTCAAAAACAACTATATTAGTCTGCTATAGCTAGACCTACGTGGAAACCTAAGTAAGTATTGTAGCACTTGGTTATGAAAGAAAATGTTTCCTGAGTAGGAGAAAGAAGTTTTAAACACTTCTGTTATGCATGTTGACCTTTTTTCCATACGTACAACTTCAAAAGTCATTGCACCATAAAGATTGGTTATCTAAAATTCTTTTGCTTATAAATCAATGTGTTTTATTATATTGCATGCAGAGGTCAGTCTGCACGCACCAAGTGCCTCCTTAATAGCTAGAAGGAGAGTTGCAGGTGATGAATGCTTCCTGGAGTAATTGCAGACATGGCCTAACTTCTACAATCACAGATATTACTGATCATCCAAATAGATCTAAACTGAAGAGAAAAGCATGCGTTTTCATGAATAGATCTAAAGTTTTCAAAACAATATATTAAATTACTTCAACTCTTTAATCTTTAAAACATAATATTAATCAGTGGGAGTTTCGTGGATGCCATTTAAGAAAAATTAGCAATATTTTTTCAAAAATGAATATTCCAAAAAATAAGATAATATATTCACTACATAATAACTTTCAGAGTTTGCTTTTTTTTCCTTTAGGAAAGGAAGAGGCTGTTACAAATAAATTTGGCATACATGTTTTTTGCTAATATTTGCCCAGAAATGATTTCTGAAAGATTAAAAAAACCTGACTTTTCAGAAATTAATACTATATAGATTTTACCAGTACTACAGTTGTGTGATTTAAATGGTCAGTTTTGATTGTAATGTGCAAAACAGAATTGACTTGATTTGAAAAGTTTTCTGGGTTGCTAGATTTCAGACCTTCTGGCCATCCACAATATCTGTTTGTTATAAACATATTTGCCCTCATAAACCTTTCCTCCTTTCCCCTCTTATTCATTGCTCTTAGATTAACGTCTGCTTATTTGGGGTTTCTACCATCTTTCCTGGAACAACCAAAAACTATATATTAATCTTGTTTAACTGATGGATTGCTCTCTAGATTAATCAAACTCCTACTAATTAATGTGCCTGATGTTTCTTGTTAATAAGTGTACTTTTTGAAAACTGTCTGTTAAGTTTATTATAAAATGAAGTCTTGCGCATGTCAAATTGTTCATCACATCTGGGCAGTGCAAGATATATTGACCCAAAGATAGCATATTGGTTTATAAAGATTTGCAGTATAAGCAAGTCTGAGATAAGTAATTTTAGAAAGGAATCCCCTCCCCCCATTTAGTATACATTATATGTAGACAGGAATTGGTAATTTTCATGTGTGGATCTTGGGAATTATTTTTAAAGAATTTGGAAGAGATTATTTATCTGACACCAATTTATCCAGAATTTAAACTTGTACCCTTATCCCTGCACTGTGTGACTTCCAAGCCAAGTTGGATGACTTACTCTGTGTATCGTACGCCTGAGGATTTTACCACTACATGATTATCTTGTTATGGTCACACAAGCCTCCCAAACTTGCTGATGAGACTCAATTTTGCCTTCACTATCATCCACAGAACTCTAGTGCTTTTGGTGGTGTTGAGTGGTTTTTAAGAAGGGCCATTGGATACTTAGATACAATATGTGTGGATTTAATTTCATATATTTGTGATAGTCTCATAGAATCACTTTATCATTCTTAATTAAAAATTTTAACTTGTTTGAAAGCCTGGAGAATTTGCTTTGGTGCTGTTTATGACCTGGCAAAGTTTACTGATGATTAGGTGGTCTGTTCAGCTGAAGAGTTGAATGCCTATTAACTTGTACAAGGCCTGGATTGCAAGCCACTGTATCTATGTGGAAAGAATGACTGAATATTCAAGTGTGCCTCCTCCTACAGTTATGTATGGCTCAGCACTTAAGGCTGTGAAATGCCATGGCTGTGACCCAGAGAATCGGACAGGAGAGGGGAATTCCAAGGCTGTCATCCAGCTCTTGTCAATGCGGGGAGCAACATGACTCAAGTTGCTGTGAATGAGGCTTTTTACAATCTTTTGAAATAGAACCAGAGTTCTGTGAAATCTGTCAAAGCACAGCCAGCAGTAGTTCATAAAAACAAAGGAGTTACTACAGACGTAAAGCTAGTGGTAGGCTTTTCATGTCTGACGCTTGTAAGAAAATATATCTGAAAATAAGATGTTGCAATGATTTGAGAAATGTATCTGTAGACAACATTTCAATGGATTTTGATTTTTCCAGGGCACTATCTCAGTGTTAATGATTATTATGCACCTTTACCAAAAGGAGAAAACATTAAACCCGATGTGGAGACCTGGGGTTAGGGAAGATTCCATGAAGAGCTGGGCTTACAGTCCTTGGAGTAGTAAAAGAGTATGAGGCCCTGAGGACCTGTTGGAGGCTATTCCCCTATATGCTTAGATCTCCTCCTAATAATGGTGGTGGTAGCAAAAGCAAGCCTGACATTCTGCAGCAATGGCAAAATAGACGGCAGGCTGTGGCCATTTTGTTTCCTCCAGTTCACTGTGTGGATACTTACGGGATAAAAGAAGATGGGTTGTATTACTACAAATATTATTTTATGGTTTGATCAGGTAGGGTTTAATAATTATATTTAACTTTTAGGGAGTATCAGAAACCACTGGAATATTGATGATCAATACAGATAGGCTTTTTTAGTAGGGAATAGTTAATTGCTTTCTTTAAGTGGTACATTTGACCTGCTAATTAGCAAAATATCTTGCCAAAATATCTGTCTCAAATAAGGTTTTATTGAATTTTCTGGGTAAAGCTAGTCTTAGAAGTGGACTTTTGCCTAGTTGGAGTCTGTTACTTAATAATGCACCTTCAGATTTGTTTTCTAGTTTACTTCATGGTTCCAAGAACTTGTTTTATCTAAAACAGGCCAGCATTCAAAATTTGTGTGCTTTTCTGGACCCGGAAGACTGATAATCTGTAGACAGTATATGTGTGTGGAAACATGCTAAGGTACGCTTATTGCACACATTAATATTGAAAACAAACACGTAACTGCTGATCCTTAACAAGATCAAAATGTGAGTTTTACTACCGATTGACCAAAATAGAAACGAGATTGAACTATGTCT